GCTGAGAAGATACGAGAACCCCGAGTTTAGGGGCACTTACGTGACTTCAAAACATTTCTGCCAAAGTTGATGGAAATAAAAGGAAAACCACATAAGCTATCAATGGTAAGTTCTAACAAGCATCCCTACGATCAAACAAGCATACAAAATACCAGTAAGGAAGCGGGAGATCAAAACCTCACAATTGTAAGTCTGCCTTTACTGAGCCACGTAGAAAACAGAACCCAACCACAGCTAGACACATTATTAAGTACACACAGAACGTTTATGAAAATTAATTGAACAAATCTGAACATACTTGATAGCCTTCAAGCAAGTCTCAACATACTTCAAAGGATTAAAATCAAAATGGAGCCTGTGTTCTTACCTCAGAGCAATTAATCAAAATAAATAGCAAAGAATATAGCTGGAAAATTCCCCCACAGATTTGACAGGTAAAAGCCTTTTTATTAACCCTTGGGTAGAAAAGAAGTCGCACGTGAAGCAGAGTATTTTGAACTGAGTAGGAAAACGAGGGACACGTAGCCAAAGACGTCCCCAGACAGGAATGCTGGGCCTTGACCGCCGACGTCAGGAGACGAGGCAGAAGATCTGCGAGCCTAGCCTCACGGGTTACGGCGAGAAGGGTGAGTCCCCAACAAAGCGGAAGGAAGCAGACAGGACAGAGGAGAAAATGATGAAACAGGAAATAGCAGACGCCAGGCGGAAGTTGGTCCTCGGCCACTCAGCAGGTCAGATAAGAAGGGCCTGCAGCCCGTCCGTACAGGAGTGGGAAGGGGCCGCCATGGGCACCGCAAAGGTGCTCTGAGTGGACGCGATTACACCGACGTGCACACGAAACGGACAAAGTCTGAAAACAGATAACTTGCCGAAACCGACGGAAGCAAAACTTCTGAACTGTTTCATTTTACAATGGCATTTAATTTATGGACACACAAAATTAAAATTGAAATCTTGTCACAAAGAAATGTGCGCACCTTGCAGGTCCCACTGTGAACTCTGCCACGCCACTGGGAACTAATCTCACGCAGACTTGTCCAGAGTCAAACGAGGCATTGCCTCCCGCACATGTGCCCCCACACCTGGCCAACTGTCCCACGACTTCAAGAATGTCACCTCGACAGCTAGAATCAGTGACGCCCACAACCAGCCAGCGTCTGTGGAGACTGACGAAGGCCAGCTGAAGCGTGCGAGGCCTGTGCAGGACACCCAGACCTGGGCGAGCTGAGAGGGAGGTCACTGCAGGCCAGCCTGGCTCACAGGCGCAAAAGCACTGGCCAGACACGAAGCCGTTCGAATGCAGCCACGGTTTTATGCAGGATGGTGGAGCGCGGCCATCTCGTTCAGGTGCACAGAACTAGTTAATCGGTGTGATTCTGCACGGATAAAGGGTAAAACCGTGTGACCATCTGAACAGTGATTGTGAAAATTTAACCTCGATTCCACCAAGTCAGGAAGAACCCTTCCTAAATCTCGTAAAGAGTTAGCCACCAAAACCCTATGGCAAACAGCCAGCTTCCTACTGAAATATCAAAGCTTTGCCTTAAGATAGAAATAGAACAAGGGGCACTAACAGATGGTACAACAGTCACATCGCTGGACTTCCACAGGGCTGGCCACAATCTGAGTCCCAGACCCGACAGCTAAGACGCACGCTGGGCACGTGTGCATGCGTGCCAAAATCCTGAGAGGAGAATGCAGGAGAAGGGATTGTGGTGTGGCCGTCCCCCTAGGGGGTGATT